CAGTTGCGTGACCAGACTCAAATTACACACGGGCTTTCATCACGCATCACAGCGTTTAGTCCGAGGTTAAACGAGGGAAGATTTCAGCAAACTGCGGCCACTTGCGGTTGAAACGACTGTGGTAAGTAATTCTTAGAGATGTCGAATCCCATTTAGAGCTAGCACACCGTTTCTAGCGGCTTTATTTTAGGTGCAGAAACTCGAGGTCAATATTTACAGTCCATGAGAACTTAACAGCGTTGTCTTTTTCAGCTACTTGCGTGCAATCAAATGCAGTGTTAATCTACTTAGTTCTTTTTTATGACTATCAAATTGAAAATCGTTCTTCAAAAGATTTTTAGAGCTTCCCGTAATGTGCCCCTTGTAAAACAAGCTAAATAAGCAAATACTTTTGTGTGCCTACACTCGCGGCTAGCTTGTTTTCAGCGTTCCAACGTGCGAAACTACGCTGCACGTTTCGGTGTCTCAGCGACGCACTTTTGTAATGCCGCCAAAAATTTGTTAACACAAGAAACGGCAAAGGATATGCTTTAAAATAGTGTTTGTTTCATGTTGAAATTCCATGTATCAGTTGTTTTTTTCGATGGTAAATTTAGGTCAAATTTGCCATTTTTGAAAAGAGCCGAAATCGTGTTTCTTATTGCGGCCAACACAGTCACATTTAAACAGCTTGTCTAAAGATAATTGTAGAATTATAAAGTACAAGTCTGTGTTTTCCTTGTGACTTGATTTCATTTAGAGATATCATCCCGTTTTTATGTACGAGCGCGAAGAAAATGCTTAATTTTCGCTAATTTCATACTCGAAAGAGCGCCGATTTGGCGTTTTTCAAACTTTGCCCGATTCAGGAAAAAATAAAAAGCCGTTACAAGTTTTAATGTGATTTTTGAAATAAGTGTACTATAGAGATTATGTGGGCAAAATATGAAGAAATTCAAAAATTCACGACTGTCAACCGATTCTCGAAAATTACAGACATTGGCTCTTAAAAGTTCTGTTTTCCAACCGTTTTCCGTCCACAGTAAAACGGAAGACGGCGTTTTCAAATTAACCCACTTTATCGAACGCGGTTTTTGGAAAGTTCCATTTTCGGTGGACAATGTATCCGCACTAGAGGGACAGTAAGCCTAATAGTGAGGATAAAGTTGAGTTTTCGAATATATCCAGCGTTGTATGGAAGGCCGAGCTTAAAACATTAATTACTTGCAAAAGTTCCACAGGTGGATCACTAATTGGCCGGGATTAACTTACAGCGTAATTGCTCATAACATTCATAGGCTCGTGGTCCAGTTTACGCCTAGGTGAACAACAGCAGGTTATTTTCAAACCTTGCTTTCCAAATCCATTAGTAGCGGTTGACAGGAATTTTGCTAATTCCATTCTTGCCGTTGCCATCGTAGCAGCATTACAACTTCACGCCGATTTAAGTGTGTATTTCAGAAATGGGCATAACCGCTGGATTTCGTAGCCTGAAGGCTCAATTTATTTCTCCGGACTTTCCCTTCGAGAGTGCTCGTTTTGACTCGGTTCAAAGAAGGTGAGATTTTATGGCGGAAGACTCAGAAGCTAATTCAAAGGAATTGAACAATGGCTTAATTAAGCTGCCCAGGGCCGCGAAGTTTTAAAGGTATCCTTTTGTTCTAAGTGTGTCAATAAACTGCAGAGAATTATCGCAGATGTTGCGGTAGATTACTCTTTTGCAAAACTTCTTCGACTTGGACACGTATTTTTCAAAAAAGGAGAATTTTGAGAGCTTCAAAAAGAGATCTTGAACGAGAAATTTCGACCTCTGTGGACCGAGATTGGATTTTTTTTCTTGCCGAGGTTTCGAAGTACAAAGCAAGCCGCCGAAGCATTTTTTCTCGCCTATCGCTTAATAAAAACCGGCCGAGAGTTATCCATTCATTCAGTCATAACAGTTATTCATTTCTCCAGAGCAATGAAACTATATAGCGTTTCTACAAAGTTATTTCCAGGAATTATGAACTCCGCAAGTTTTGATCTGTCGATTATAGCTCTTGTTTTGATTTTAGATATTTCCCGTCTCACTCGACTACTCCGCGAATCAAGTTGTCATGCAAATCGGTGAACTGACAATACGCGGTTATTTCGGGCCCTGCAGTCACGTAACTGAAACGCAAGGTTTTGTTCAACAAAAAAAAAATTGAAAGGCAAGCGAAAACGTCCAAAAAAGTGAAATTACACTCTAATCAAACTGTGTCATCCCGTTAAATGCATTCACCGCTTGCGTTGTTTACATTTTGAAGAGAGTTGTTCGCTCTTGATTGCAGAGCTACTGAATGAATAAAACGTTCTAATAAATAACTTCCGCAGCAATTCTTTAAACGCCAAATTATTTTCAAGGCAATAGAGTATTTAATAAAAACATACTATTGGAGACCAGGTATTTATAAGCTTTAATCAGCTTGAAATTTGTCAGGCTTGTTTCCTTTGTAATACGGTGCGTGACCGAAAATATGTTACGCAACCAGAGTTGTCCGCCACGCTTAAAAGACTTGTAAGCGTTCCCACAGACTGCAACAAATTTAACAGGCAAGTCCGAGTATTTTAATGGATAAATTTAATACTCATCAGGTAACAATGGGGATTAAAAAGTCAATCAAGCAACAAAATTCGAAACAAAAGAGACATATCGCACCTAAATCAAAGGAATTTCGCTCGTGGATTCTTCGGAAGGTAATCGACAATGGCAAGAACAATAGCCTGAATATATGAATACTTGATAACCCCAAATTTTGGGGTACACACTTAAATCGGCGTGAAGCTGTGGTCCATGAGAAAACGTTCGCCCGTAAAGTTTCTCCTAAATCGTTAAGACTGGTGAGTTTGATTGTGGGTTATAATTGTCATACATGTAGCTGAATTGTTAAAAAATGTTTTTGCTCTCAGTTCCTAGATTTGCATCCATTTTTGTCCTAAAGTATCCTTCATAAACCAAGGAATATTGCAAATATTCTTGCTTATTTCTCTTCTTCTCCTCCAACGTTCTCTCCATTTCCTCTCGTTCTTTTTTTTCTTATCCTTTCCTTTGCCTACTCCAGCATGATTTTCAGACGCTAGTTAAATGGCTGATGTTCTGTAAGCGCACTCTCAAATAACGTCAGAAGTTTCCAACGAATGCGACGAATATAGCTTACATACTGACCAGCCGAGTCACCTCTTTTCGGGCCTTTCAGAGCCCCATAGGGTTTAGTGTCAATAATAACTTTGCTACTGAGTAAGTGGGGAGTGAAACACGTAAAAATAGTTAAATCAAGTGATTTGACAAAGAAAATAATTGAAGCATGAGGTTAGTGAATGAATGAGTGAAGTCTTCATTGAAAAAATTAGACCTAGCAGACATCTCGCGTTTGCCATCGCAAGGTGAATACAATCTAAAATCTACAATAAGACAAGGGCACCCAACGAGAATATAGTTCAAAACCACTTAAACATAGCATTGATGAACGCATTTTTGTATTTAAACAGTAGATAAAGGTATATTTTTATATCCTAAAAATTTTTTATCTGTTCGGATTTCCTAGCTGAAAGTCTAGTGATCCGAAAACTATACGGATCAAAACTTACCTTTTCGAAAATTTCAGCCAGAAAAAAGGCTCCCGAAAATTCTAGGTGACCATTTTAGGGTAAAAATGCGTTAAAAATGGGCAATTATACCTTTTTTTTATATCCTAGTAGAGGGCGGCAAGCAAGAAATTTTACAACAAACGTTCTGAAAATTCTAGATCTCAAATCGTCTTTCGAACAGATATTTTCCGAAAATTGACGTTGGGTGCCCCGATAAGATAATATAAAATGTATACATCATAAATAAGAAACGATGCAATGAGATCACACGAGTTTAAAGAGACATGTTTTTGTAAATGAATGTTTGTCACGGTATCTCTCGGTTCTTAGAGTTGAATTTGGCGCCCCCTTTTTCTTCGTATTCTTGACCGTTTCGGGCGGCACAAAAATCTTGAAGTGGATGAACATTTTCGTGATGGCGATATTTTTTTTTATCTTTGAATGATTCTGCTTTTATATCCAGTCATCAAGGGTATTTATTATCTGGCGATCAGGCATTATTATTATTTTATCATTATTATAGTATTTTTTGAGAAAAGAGTTCATAAAAGAACAGGACGTCAAATCTAATTTTCAGTCAATCAGAACAGAACTGCGTGTCAGACGTACTGTGTCTGAATCAGTCAGAAAGAACTTTTAAAATTCTGGCTTTTTGGCTTGTGATCTTGTAAATCAATGTATCAAGCCCTCCTTCCCATGAAAGACAAAATAGAGATACAGGTATGGCATGATCGCAGGCTACCTTTTCAAAAATTTCCTCTTTATGCCAACAAAAGGGTGAAAAGAGAGTAAGATAACGAAAAACGGACAAGACCACAAGCCAAAAGAAAAAAAAATAATAACACGAAAAAGGAAGCTATGTGTCATGGGCACCTCCATTAGTGGCCCACAGGACGGGGTCACCCTGCTAACTTCGAATGGGAATTGAGTTCCGCCTGCCTACTAACAACAGGATTACTAATTTTCCGCGCTAGATCTCGTGTCACAACTCGAAGCACAACACTTTTATCAAGGACCGTGCCAGGTATAAGAATTACGATTTTTTTTTTCACGACAGAGCTTAAAAATTAAAGACAGAACTTTAAAAAATTTAACTCATTTAGACCCAAATATTATTGCACGTAGAATCCAAGAAAAATCAGAAAACAAAGGGTCAAAACACATACTCTTGTGAATGAGTGACAAAAGTGTAAGCTGATTATAAAGTTAAGCCGTGAAAAAATGGGACATTAATAAAAACGATATTTTTTCTTAAAACGACTAGTAGATAATTCCTACAGCGAGTTATGGCAAGAAAGAAAGGTTTATAAGCAACCAAAATCAAAATGAAATAAATGAATCGAAATACGTTTCTCTTTCCACAGAACTCCGCAATGTGGAAGATTACAGCGCTCATGATCATGTTTGCCTCGATGCTGTTGTTTTCCATAACCCTCCAAGTAATGTCACAGAAGGAGTGTCGCATAAAAACCAACGGCTGCAGTGTCCCTGCGGGGCTACCTTTCTTCTACAAGAAGACGTTTACCCCTGCTTGCGTGAAGCACGATGTTTGCTACTCCTGTGTAAGAATATAGTCGATGTCTATCTACCCTACCCGTGAAAACAGCTGGTTGTTTGCAAACCGGCCAGTTGTCACATTTGGGCAAATCGTACACAAAATTCAGGGTTGAAAAAATTTTGTCCCGGAATTGCTTTTACCAATTGCACAAACAAGTTCCATTTACCAAAAAAATAGAAATGAGAAAACCTTTTCAGACGCTCCCTTCCTTCCAGAAATTTTTCGCTGGAACGACGCAAAATATCGTGTTCTATATTGTTTCCAACTGGACTTTCCGCAAACTTTTTGTAAATGGTAAACACCCAATTGTTTTTATCGTGTTTTCGTGTTTCAACTACTTATCCGAAAAGCCATTTATCTGAAAATTTAGATCGAAATAATCCATCCTTTTAACCAAACATATAAGCAGATAGTCTCCCTCGCAGCCGTTTTTAGTACCGTCACGCAACGCTCCTCGAGCGTTGCGTGACGATACTAAAAAAGGCTGCGAGGGAGACTAATAAGCAGAGGGAATACATAAGGGGGACTTTTGGGGAAAGAATCGAAGACGTTGAGAGTATTTTGAACTATGAGGGAAAGGAAATTTCAAACTGGTATAAGGACAATCTACTCATGTGTAATCATGAAAAATTTCAGTCGATGAGTCTCGGGTCGAAGCATAAAAATAAACAGATGAAAATTGATGTTGTGAACAATGATATTGGGAGTCACTCTGAAATGAAATTACTGGGAGTGACCATTGACGAGCATTTGAATTTTAGTAGACATATCGGAGAGGTATGTAAAAACGCATCTAGGAAGGTTGGAGTTTTGATGAGGCTTAGAAACATGTTAACAACATCAGCCAAACTTGAGATTTTCATTTATTTCATAATGCCTCAAATTACATACTATCATACAGTGTGGCATTTCTGTCGGGCTTCGGACAGCAGAAAGATGGAGCGAGTACAAGAACGAACGTTAAGAGCCGTCTTCTGCGATATGAGAAGTTCATACGATGACCTCTTGAGAAAAGCTAAACTCACGACACTAGGCTGTCGCCGATTGTAGGATATAGCCATAATTATGTATAAGGCAAAGTACAATATATGCCCTCCGCACATAAAGGACATTTTTAAGCTAGATAAACCTCCCTATGGGCTCAGAAATTCTGGTGACTTTTTTATTCCTCGATACAACACAACAACTTACGGGAGACAGCCTGAGATGTGTGGGACCAGTAATATGGTCTAAATTAAGCAATGATGTAAAAAACGCAGAATCAATTTACAGCTTTAAAAAGAAAATTCGTAAGGTAGATCTTGAAAAAGTAATCACAGAGGGATATAAAAACTGCTTTCTATGTTGTACATAAATGACATTTTCTAGACAAAAAGGACGCCTCTTAATCAATAAGTATTATTTTATATGATAGACCCGAATACTTTTTCTCGACATTTTTTTTTAGTATGTATATTTTTGTAAATTCTATTCTTCGTAAGTATATTTTTTAAACTAATTAGTTAGAGCTGATAGTATTTTAATTTAGTGTCCCCTATTAGTGAGGCCTTACATGGTCAGCTAGAAGACCTGTCACTGAAATAAAGTTTATCATCATCATCATCATCGCCTGCTAAATTCAAGATCGCGCGCTAAAGCACTCTCATTGGCCTAAGTCTCCCGGTCCTTGCCGATATCAATAATTAATATCGATTGTGCTAATATCGAATAGAAAGGCACGGCGATATCCCTGACGGAGAAGACGAGTAGCGTGACTGTTTTGTTACAACTAGAGAAAATGGCGGAAGAAGTCCATAACAACATAGTATCAGTCGCAAAAGCACCAATCGGTGGATTACAACTGCTGTCTGAAACATGCAAATCCAATTTTTCGTCCAGTGTGATCAACCTCGTCCAATAATTGTTAATTGTCGTTATCGTTACCGCTATTGTTATTCTCATTACCCTTAATTAAAAAAGAAAAACCAGCATCTGTTTACAGTGACTGAACATATCCTTTGTTTTACAATCATTTCCCCATAGGGTCAGCGCTTTGGTTGGACTCAATATCAGTGCGACAAAAGATTTAAAAGCGATATGTACAGGCTATGTGAAAAAAAGTACGGCTCCAAGAAAGGCTGGTTCTCCTGGCGAACAAAATACAAACGGTGTAAATTCTTTGCGCGTTTGTACTACAGAACAGTACGTGCTTTTGGCAGGTTTCACTGGGCAAATCCATCCGAGCGCTGGTGCCGCAAAGGCTGTACTAAAGCTCTTGGGAATCCTTTCAAGCCTCTGAACGTTTAAAATGAGACTGCAAATGCCAAATGTATTAATCTTGCAGCATAAAATCGTAAAAAAGCAATCGCAAAATTTAGCTGGTAAATAAACTAGGCTCGAGGTCCTAGGCGAAATAAAAGATTGTTCAAGAACACACGCTTATTTTAATGACCTATTACTTGAGATGTTGTGCTAACGACAGTTATGCAGTTGTTCTTATTTCTTACGCTATATTCACAATATATCGGATGGCTGTTCGTGCCTGCTATCCGGTATAGAGTGTTTTCACTCACGTGGCCAGCATCTATGCAAATTTATTGGAACAACAGAAAGCGTTTGCATGAGAAAAGAGTTGAACTCCCAGAGGATTGGATTGGGACACCAACATGGCCTCCGTTTCATTGTTTCGGGACACCAATATGACCGCCGTGACGTCATGTGAAAACACTCTATAGTAGAAACACCGCCATACCTATCCGATATGTGAATCTTCCCCCACTTTAGAGATCAGCATGGCGCAGCTTCGCTCCGTAACAGAAATCGCGTGGGTGGGTAGGTAGATAGGTGGGTTGGCAGAAAGGTGGGTGGGTATGTAGGTAGGAAGGTAGGTAGGTAAAAAAGTAGGTGGGTGTTGGTATAGGTAGGTAGGTAGGAAGCTGGGTAGGTAGATAAGTGGGTGGGTAGGTAGTTAGAAAGGTAGGTATATAGGTAGGTAGTTCGATAGGTAGGTAGAAAGGTTCTAAAATATATAAAATGTCAGCAAGTCCACAGCAACAAATCAATGAGTGGTGTCGGATCTCCCAGTTGTAGACCTGGATCAGTCCAATTAAACTTGTAGAAAAATATGAAACGGCAAAGTGATCCTTACGGCAAGGCGATGAAGAAGTAAAAAGAATAAAACAAAAAATATATATCTAAACAAATTGCCCAATATTTCCGTTTGAAAACAAACCTTCAGGGGCTAAAAGAAAAATGAAAATAAAACTTTTCTTTTGTTTACTTCTTCATCGCCTTGCCGTAAGGATCAGTTTGCCGTTTCATATTTTTCTACAGGTAGAAAGGTGGCTGGGTGGGTAGGTAGGTAGTTCGGTAGGTAGGTTAGGAGGTAGGTAGTTGGGTAGGTCAGTAAAAAAGAGGACGCGCCAGCTCCAAAAACACCTTGCTGGTTTCCAAGGAGGGCGTGTTTAGACGTAATGGCCTTTTCCTACTATAGCATGATTTTCAGGCTTGTCGGACCCCAAAAAACTCTCGTTTCTGGCTTTTGTGGTCAAATGACAGTAATTTTCTGTAAAAACACTTTCCAAACTCCAGTTAGCCGTTTTAAAAGGATCCTGCGAACATGGTTACACACTGACCTGCCGGTTCACTTGTTTTCAGGCCTTTCAGAACCTCGTAGAGTTTAGTTTGCCTATTCCCTGTACGGCGTCTTCCCTGGCCTTCTTGGTCAATGCATTTCGATGACGTACCTGAGACGAACGCTCACGTAACTCAGAACACATAGGCCGCGAGGAAAAATAAGGCCTGGGGACCAAGCAAGGGTTTTGTGTCAAGTGAAACCTGTAGTTCTGAGCTAGTGGGAAGTGAAAAACGAAAACTTAGTTTTATTAACAGATTGGGTTAAGAAGTTATGAATATATGAAAATCATATATGTGAAGTGCGGAGTGAAGAATTAAATGAAGGATGATCTTAGCAGTTATATACGCAGCTTTTGCAGTTGCGAAAAGAAAGCCTGAAAAAAATTAAGGCTTGTACGGGATTCGATTCGAACGTTCGGTATCGCAGAGCTCAAGGATTCGAATCCCGTACAAGCCTGATTTTTTTTTTCAGGCTTTCTTTTCGTTGGTTCGCAACTGCAAAAGTTGCGTATATAACTGCGATGATCATCTTTCATTTAAGGTTGGGTTAAGTACATAATTGAAATATAGGCGAATAAATAAATGGATTAATGAATGGATGAATGGATGGATGAATGGATGGATGAATGGATGGATAGATGAACGGACGGACGGACGGACAAATGAATGAGCAATCGTGGTTGAAAATATTAGACTCGACAAACGTAAGCCTTTACAATTCACCATGAATATAAGTAAAGTGAGTAGAATTTAAAATCTTCCAGAAGAAGGTATATTAAAAAATATATATTATATATTTTTTAATATACAAAAAAAAGGAACTATGGCATGTGATTACACAAGACATCTGCCATAAACGAAAATTTCTCTGTTTTAGTTTTTATCTAGGGGTGTTGGAATTCGCGTCCCCTGTTTCTTAGTATTCTTTACCGTTTTCGGAGCGACAAACTCTGAAGGTGGACGGTTTTTCCTTGGTAGTGATGTTGTTGGACAGACGTTGATAGTTTTCTTTAATTAAGGCGGATATCTTGAAGACAGCCATATCGGTAGGCTGGCTTGCAGACGTTGTCAATTCAACCGAAATACTTTTGACAAGCTTTCCCAGACACCTGTCGAGACGTCTATACCATATGCAAATAAGGATAAGATGAGGGAGTCAAGTGTTAATAGCCAAAAGCTAGGTCATGTTAGGAAAAGTTATATATCAACGGCTAAATCGAAAGCTCAGTAGCATCGTAATTTCTTATTACAGTTAAAAAGGGAATTTACTAATATTATCACCTCCCCATGTAAATCTGCCTGTCATTAATAATTAGAAAGTTTTCAAATTTCTTTTCAACTGCTCCTAGTTGCGACACTCCCACAACCAGCAAATTTAAGGCGCATCAATACTATTTTTCTGTCAGGGAAAGTACAGAAGCTTACAGAGCTGCAGTGTTGTTTTACTTTTTAAACACACAAAAAATATGCCTCGCATTTCAATGACTGTTATAAAAACCATTTTGTACAAATAACGAAACCCTAAAGTCCCTCCAAAATAAGTGAATAAATCACAGCACAACTCACACATCCAGCGCAACTCTCACAACCCCCACCAACAATTGAGCACGGCTAGTGCAACCCTCAGGACCTCCCACAACCAGCACAACCTCCCACCACCTGCAGCAGTAACATTAAAAACTTCCGCAACCAGCACGGCCCTAAAACCTCTCGAAACCAGGAAAAAGTCAGTTCAAGTGAGTGCGGTTTGATTTTGCCTGTTGTGTATTCTTATATGGTCTTTATGAAATGTGTACGGTACTTCTAGTGTTACATTAGTATAGAGGAGGAGTTCGAATCCTTTGAGAAGTTAGCCTTCCTATTTTGTTGGTCTTCTAACCTGCAGTTCTTCTTTTACCTGACTATGCTTTTAGGCCATTTTTAGTTTTAAAAGTATTGCATCTTTTATTCGCAATTTCCCCTTTTTTATTTTGGGATGTAAGGAGCGTAGTTCAGTGCTCCAATGTCATGTCAACAAAAGGGGGTAAGGCGACGGAAAACGGAGGCGACCGCAAGCAAAGACTAAAAGAAAAACAAAAAAGGAAACTATAAGGAAAAATCATTAAATACTGCCAAAAAGTGAGCTGGGGGATCTGTAAACGGAGCCACCGTACGCTGCCAACTTTGCAAGGAAATTGAACCCTGCCTCAATACTAAAAACAGGATTACCGATTTTCTACAGCTTCAGTTGTCCCTAAAAAATTGATGGTTGTGGGAGTTGAGCCACAACTCGAAGCCTACCCTTTCAAGTCTACCAAGAAATGTGCAAGGTATAAAACTTACAATGTACGCCAGAGTTGGCATATAGGCGGCGAGCTGAAGAAAATTAAAACACTGAGTCCCGTATTGGTCACGTAAAAAGGAAAAAGAGTGCACGTCAAATGCCAAAAAAAAACAGAAACAAAAGATCGACAACAGGTACTCTTGTGAATGAGTGGTAAGAGTGTAAGCTGATTACTAAGGATATAAAATATATTAATAATAGGACATAATTCAAAGAATAACCTTACTAAAATTAATGTAAGAAAAGTAAATAGCTGAACGTTAAAACCGGGTTAATAATCGAAATCAAAGTGAACTAAACCGAGATACGGTCATATTTCTCTTTCTACAGAATTCTGTAATGAGGAAGATTACAGTGCTCATGTTTGGCTCGATGTTGTTGTTTTCTCTAACTCACAAAGTGATGTCAAAGAAAAAATGTCCCATAAAACACAATGGCTGTAGTGTACCTGGTGGCCTTCCGTTCTTCTACAAGAAGACTTTCACCCCTGCTTGCGTAAAGCACGATGTTTGCTACGCCTGTGTAAGAATCTAAAATTAGACTGAGTCCACTAACCCCGAGAGGGGGTACACGAAGGAAGTTTGGGTAGAGGTGTGCCGCCGAGGCCTTTAAGTCCTGACCCCTCAGGGGCGCCCAACGACTGACCCTTTCTAAGACGAAAATGGTTCATTTTGCTACCCTGTTTAAGACAAGAGACCTTATTGTATGCCTCTCATTAATTTTGTTTTGCATACAGAATTAAGTCATTTTTAACTTACATCATGGAAATAGATTTTTTGGAAAAAAAATTGTTCGCACCACAAGTGTAGACCGCTCAAAGCGAACCTTCATACTTTTTAAAAGGATTCCGGTCCAAAAAAGCATCCTGTTCTGTTCAGTGGCACCAAGAATGGCACGTACTCGTCTAGGCTAAATAAGAGAGTACATACTCCCTGGCGCCATGCATCAACCCTCCTCCTACCGTAGCCGCCCACACATTTAATCTTTATTACGTTTTCGCATTTTTCTTGATTATTCGAAAAGCGACATATCGGGATGGAATGACATCATCCATCCTTCTAACCAAACAATCGGGGCCAAGGGAGACAAAGACCCCGTAAATTCATGGCGCGTTGAGAGATTTTACGCACACATAGAGTTTTTTCACTCACGTGGCCATCATCTTTGCAAATTTATTGGAACAAAAGAAAGTTTTTGCGTAAGAAAAGAGTCCAACTCACACAGGATTAGTTTGGGACACCAACGTGGCCGCCGTTTCATTGTTTTGGGACACCAATATGGCCGCCGTGACGTCACGTGAAAACAGTCTCCAACAACTTTTACTATTCATTCAAAACCAAGAGTCAAAACATTTCTCCATTTTTGATTAGCTTAGTTCCGCGGCTACTTGTTCATAATCAGCTAAGGTTGATCAAATTTGGAAGAAGTTTCCCGATATTCAGACAATTGACGTCAATTATACTGATATCGACTGGAAAAGGACGAACAGAATCCCTGGGGCAGAAGATGGGTAATTCAGTTGTTTGGTACAACTGGAGAAAATGTCAAAGGATTTAAACGTTATGCGATTAAGAAATAGCCGCCCTACCGGTTAAAAACAGCAATAAACGCAAAAATAATAATCGGTAGATGAAAAATGCTATTTGAAGCGTGTCTGCCAGAAAAAAAAACATACTTTCACGACTGACACTGCCTAGGAACAGGCAAATAGTCATGAATGAGACGGAAACTTGACATAGATCGAAGTAAACCATTTGTTGTAGCTGAAAATACTTTGAATGAAGAATAAAACAATCATTCAATTGATTCGGTTTTCGTATGAAATCGGAAGAGTTATCATGTGCAGATAAAAATTTGTTTTTCCGCAGTTCACATCATCTTCATGATTCATTCCTTTCACGGGCGAAAATGAACTCAACAAATTGGCCTCCTCTTATGTATGGACCTTCATAGCTCAGATGGTAGAGCACTGCAGCGCTAACGCAGAGGCCATAGGTTAGAATTCCGTTGAAGTCCCGAAATTATGTTCGGGTTTATTTGCATTTGCTTAAATTGCAATTACCACTGCGACGATCATATCTTCATTTAAAATTGTTATTGTTATTATTATTATCTTTAACTTAATGATAATAATAATAACAATAATTGATTAGTCATCAATAATCAAGAAAACCAGCATCTATTTGCAGTGACTGAACATATCCTTTGTTTTAACATCACGTCCCCACAGGGTCACCGCTTTGGTTGGACTCAATATCAGTGCGACAAAACATTCAAAAGCGATATGTACAGGCTGTGTGAAAAAAAGTACGGCTCCAAGAAACGCTGGTTCTCCTGGCCAACAAAGTACAAACGGTGTAAATTCTTTGCGCGTTGGTACTACAGAGCAGTGCGTGTTTTTGGAAGGTATCACTGGACAAATCCATCCGAACGCTGGTGCCGCAAAGGCTGTACTGAAGCTCTTGGGAATCCTTTCAAGCCTCTGAAAGTTACAGATGACATTGGAAATGACAAATACATCAGTTTAAAACTCGAAAACTACAAGCTACAAGCAGCCGAGTTGGTTAACAAATGAACTAGGCATGTTGTCCAAGGAGAAATAAAAGAATGTTCAGAGCACACGTGCATGTCTTTAATGAGTTTTCACGTTAGATGATAGGCTAATGACAGTTATACAGTTGTTCTTATTTCCAGTGTTTCAAAAATGAAAAACTCTAGATTCTACTTAATTTGGATACATCGTAATTTTCAGTAAATTTCAATATGGCGGAGACGGTGGCCATCACAAATCCTAGAAGGTGAGCATCTCGTTGGAGGCTCAATTCACGGGCTAAAACGTTGTCACACTGCGAAACCCTGCCTCTTTGATAATAAAACGTAAATGGTTGGGAAAGTTGAGGCTCGTGGAAGAAGTGGGGAAAATGGGGTGGCGAGAACAGGAGGGCATTTTGTATGCGCATGCGTCAACATGGGCTGTTGAAGTGCCACAGAGGCATTTTCTGTGAATTGTTTACGTTCAGTACCAGCATTTGCAGGCTGTTTTCTGGAGCTGAATGACGTGTATTGGGTGCTACATTCCACAAACATGTTCTTTAAGGTATCGAGGTATTTCTACGATGAAAGTGTGTTTATTGTAGCCTCGCTGTCGCCCTTGAGAGGATGGTCTTTCCTTTCGTAAAACCGTACATCGAGGAAAAGATAGCGGCTGAATGTTCTTACCACCTAACATTTCGCGCACATTTTTTGAGCAGGAGGAAAGGTCAGTATGATAGTTTTTCGTTAACAATTATCCTATAGATACTTAATTCTTCTCAATAGTATAACTCTAAAATCGAACTTAATCGTTTCAGGAATACAGTGGTTAATTAAGTGTCCATTCTGCCGTGAAACTGTTTTTCACCCTTTCTGTGGCTTGTTTATCTCGAAATCCTGCCTTTCTCCCCAGATTAAGTTAATGATTAATGAAACTAAGAATACTTCCGCGAATGAATGGCCCTTTGATGAAGGCTGTGAAAAATCGCCTTCTGCAGTAATTTTAGCTTTCTTCTCCGGTACGTCTTCGTTGAGAAATAAAATACACGCACTTCAACTATAATGAAGGTAGTAAGATTGTGTTTTGAAAATAAGAATATTCTATCATTTAGTTACACAAAGGAAAAAAATTACAGCAATCGGTTTGAACTCTGATTTTTTCCACCTTATTTTGATGGTACACTGTTTGTTTGCATTTCATTATGCAAATAAATATAACATTTTGGCGCTTTAAAGAAAATATAGCCTAACTCCCCAACCTTAAAATAGCACGGAATGAAACTTTACCAATGCACGTTTTAAATAAATCCTGGCTTCTGTTGCAAAAAAACCGCATTTATTCCTAAACGATACCATTTTGTGGATACTGCATTTGTTGATATGC